CTCCTAGTCCTCCTACAATGCCCTTTTGATGTTATCTTTCCTATCTTCTAACAGTCACCTGAAAACCCTGAACAGTTGGGAGGTTCCATCTGCGTTCCAACAGCACCTTGTATTAATTATTACGATACTTATAAAATTACTAGTTCATTTACATGTCTGTTTTGCCAGTGGGTATCTCCTCAAATAATATTTTATTTATCTTTGTATTCTCAATACCTTGGACAGTGTTTGACATATAGAAGGGTCCAATAAATATCTGTTAAATAAACAAGCAAATAGATTTCTGCAGATATTGGAAAAAAATAGTACAGGAATAATCAAATGAACAAATCCCAAATGAACTATTTCAAATGGGTTAACCTGTCAGTCTCACTATCAAGAAAATGGATCTAACTATGAAACCTCAAAGTGGCCTAAACAATGGCACTGTATGCACTCAAATGCAAGTGCTAAGATATACATAGTGAATATTCTGTGTGTCCTTTTCCACCATATCTTGTAAAGGTTATAAGGATACTCCTTACTGGACATAAAAATCCCCAGGAATGGGGATTATTCATGTTATATTTGGCATTTCTGACAACCAAAGAAATACTGAAATCAAACTGAATATAGATTAGGGTTCGGCATTGCTGAGATGAAAAGTTATTAAATTTCCTTTGGGAGAAATAAAAGGATCCAACCAAGCACTAATCATAGTTAAGAAATTAAAACTGAATTAAATTTCCAATGCAAACTAAATCAGAAGAGTCCCTGTGCTAGCCATCGAATAAATGGTTCACAGTATTGCAAGCAGGTAATAGCCCATAAATCTCAACATTGTAAATATCAAAGAATGCAAAGGTGATATTAGACATGATATTAGACATGTCTTTGAGAGATATGTAACTTCTTTTGGGTGATTGATTTAAAAAAGATGGAATGGTATTACCTAAAGCAAAATTTTTATTTTAGTAGTTCTTTATCACTCTTGCAAAAGTATTATATTTTACATACATAATTTTTATTTACTCAAGTCATAATGCTAAAAAAAAAAAATCTAAAAATTACTAACTCAAATTCCTAATCTTACAAAGAAACAAAGGTAAGGGCAAGTGACTAGCCCAAGGTTATACCAATAACAGAGGTAGAGTCTGAAATCAAAGTACAGTCTCCCCAACTTCAATTCTTTCCCCTAGGTGTACCAATTTCATATCTTAATATGCCTTATTAAATTTCACTGCACACATATATATGCATATGTGTGTACATATCCACACATGTATAAATACTTCTGTAACACTTGAAGAAAACAGGCCATTTAGAAATGTACAAAGAAAATATACCAGTTAATTGAAAAGACTAATTTTGGGATAGGGCATTCATGTTTTCTGAATGACCCATTAAAAACCAAATTTCCCAGAGGGGGGGCGGGTAGAGTGGAGAATTGGATTAAAAATGGGGAGGAGGGTGGGAGGGAGCAGTGCACTGGACTATGGTGATAGCACACGGGGGATTTGGTGATGGGAAGCCCACACAACTGAGATGGAAAAAGGCACAAAATGATGTAAAAATAAACTATTATTAAAAAAAAAAATTCCATGTCTGGGTTTCTATTAATATATTGATTATATGAAGTATAATGTTTAAGCACAGGAGCTCTGGAGTAAGAAATCTGTTTATAATCCTCTAATTTCAGCTAATATTTAATTTAATTTATCATGTAACCATGGACAAATTTGCTTAAACTTTCTAAGCCTCAGTTTCCTCACTTGTAAAAGTGAAAAAACAGAACCGACTTGATATGGTACTTGTAAGGATTAAATAGATAATGAATACAAAGAGTTTTGCTGGGGATCTGGTACTTACTCAGTACTTGAGCTGTTATTATCATTATCACTGTCTCTGGATTTCCCACAAGAGTATCCTAACTAAAGTTTTTTGTATATAACAGATACTCACCTATACACACTCACACTCCTAATTGTATATTACCAGTTCCTTTGAACAGAGTACAGCAGGTTAAGAACCATATTCAAGAAAACCTTAGCTATTTTTTGTTTGGTTTTTGAGATCAAACTCACTCCAAATTGATTTTTAAATTCTACATTAATGGGAGTTTAGAATTTTGCAAATTGTTTTTGTCTCCATCACATTCTGTCAAACAAAATGAGTCTGGCTGCCTAAATTCTACAATTGGGAAATGCAACTGACTCAGAAAGAAAACCAATTCCCTGCTTCCCACTGAGTACCCTTTTGGTACACAGAAACAAAGAACAGTATCTCTGCAAGTGAGTACAAATTATTTCTAAAATTTATTGTGCATTTAACTCTATTAGTATCTGAAACTAACACAATTACAAAAGGTCCTTTCCCCATACACGTATCATGCTGCAAATAAAATAATTCCCTTTCCCCACATTTCCCCACATTGCTCAGTTTATCTACGTATATTTGAGCAAGATATTATTACTAATTCTAATTCAAAGTAATGAACTGTCAGGCTGTTTCATCTCTAAAAACTTAATAAATTAAAAAGCCAGCTATGCTGGTCTAAACCAAAAGACACAACATTTACATATATCCATTTTCAACAATCAAATAAGTCTAAACAAAATTTATTTATTTCAGTGTAAATCTCAAGATTTTCTTTGAAAGTGTTATGGTCTGAATTCCTAGAGTACTCTGAAATTTCAGTTATGGAATTTATAATTTAACTTGAAAGTAAATAAATACTAAAAACAAACTACTAGATCATCAACTCTATATAAAAGACTAGACAGCCATAAATTCTATTTTACCAGGACTAAAATGCATTAAATTACATTTCACTGACATAAGATCAAAAGAATCTCATAAATACAATGTTGTATTTTACCAGAGTGAGGTTATAAAAAAAGAAGCCAAACCGAAAAATATTCCCTCTGGAAAACAAAAAATGTCTTAAGTAATTTTAAAACTCTCTTGACATTTGATCCATTAAAATCATTAAAATCAAAGTTCATCGTTTAAACAGCATTAAAGTTGCTAGAAAATAAGCCCAAAGAATTATAAATGTAAAGGTTTTTTTTCTCAAAAATGCAATCCTACTTTTCAGCTATCATCAACGTTCATACACTATTTAGCTATTCTTATATTGCATAACTCTTTTAAAGTGTCACTTAGCCTAAATTAAAACCTGACAATAAGTTAAAAACTGTAGTTAAAAATACCTCTTGGCAATATACAATATTATTATTTTTAAATGTAAAATAAAAATTAATAGAATTTGCATATTTTATTAGTTTAAGTTATTAATTTATGAAAATGGAACTGGCTTCTTTCAAAGAGATTAAAAATAATTTAAAATATCAGAATTTTATTTAAAAGAAGACTGGTCAAGTGTATAACTATATCTAATCTCATAGGATAGGGGATTGCATGAAAATACCCAAAATTACATAATATTAAGGGATGGAAAGATGGTTTAAGGCTTTTGAAAAATACTGTATGGAAAGTTTATGAGGATAATTTTAAAAATATGTTACTACAGAGTGAAAAATATAATTAAACCACAGTAAACAATATCTCCAGATGCTGATTTCTCAAATGTCACTAGACTATTCAATCCAGTAAAAAGTACTTTTAAATACAGGCAGCACCCAGAACATCAAGTTTCAAATCCCTACCTTTTCAGCTATCTATACTACTTTAATGTTGCATGTAAGAACTCAAAGAACATTCCACATTAATTAAAATTACTATTTTCCTCATTGGGTCTATATTATATATGTGAGAAAGGTATCTCAGTAATCTAAGCAAAATGCTAAATAAATACACATTGCTTTTTCAATATCCAGAATACTAAAGTATTTATAAATATGGCTTCCCCCAACTTCAGCTTTATGAATGGCTTCATTTTTTTAGTGTTAATATAGTGCTGAACATACTTTCCTACCTGATTGGGAAAAAAAAGCAATTAGTTTAAATGTTAAACAGCAGCTAACCAAAATAATAGTGATGTTCAAGTAAAGCTACTTTATTTACAATAAAATGGAAAGATTATATAATTAATTAGCTTGGAAATTATCTTTCCAGCAATGCTCTATAGTGTCAAGGCAACAGGACAACATTCATTTTTACAAGATAACAAGGAGTTAATAAGATATATTTTCTCTGCAACTAAGAATTGTCTTCTCTTTTGTCAATATTGCAAGACATTCATCTGACAAAGGAAAAATGAACACTTCACTTGCCTGTTTAAGAAACTAAATTGGGAACATTACCAGTAATAGACTTAATTAAGTTATTTCTAGGGAAGAATATTTAAAGGAAAAAGACTATTTAAAGTTCACTGCTTGGCTGTTAAATTTTGGGGGAACAGCCTGAACAAGATAGACCCTATTTGTCCCTCGCCTTTTCCCCCACCACCCACCCTGCAGCAAACCCCCATTGTTCTATGTAAAAATCACAGCTAATGATAACTAAATAGCACTTGCTATATTTATGTTGCAGATGATCACTAAGGAGAACTCTTCAGAATCACATTTACTTGCTGCTTTCTTTCCTCCCAGATAAAATCCAAATTTGATAATAAATCAATCACAAACTGGTGAGGAAAAGGATCACAGCTTCCCTGCCAGACTGATGGATGTCACTCCAGAGGCAGGTAAGGAAATCTCCAGTAGGTTACCATAATAATTCGACCCCCCCCCCCAATCACTCAAACTGACCGATATACCATTTTATTTTTAACCTTGGGCTAGGAAAACCCTTGAAAAGTGCACAGCCCAGGGGGGGAAAGGCCGGTAGCCCTAGTAGCCACCCCAAGTAGAACACAGAGGCAGCAGCATGCAGAATTTCGTGTGGATTTGGAGCCCACGTACACCACTTCCTCCCCAAACCTGGCTGGCTGGGACGGATGCGGGTATCGAGGAAGGGGGAGACTGGCACTCGGGCGCCCCACTCTACCTCCCGGATACCTGCCTCGGCCTGCGGGAGCGCCGCCCAGCGCGGTCACCAGCACAGACACAAACACTCACCCATCTTTCCTCTTGGCTTTGTAGACGTGACCGTAAGTGCCTCGGCCAACTTTGCAGCCCTCGTATTCAAACAGGTCCTCGACCCGCTCCCGCTCGCTGCTCAGCTTCACTTTAAAGTCATAGTCCATTGTCACAGCCTCCGAGGCCGGGGAGTTGGGTGGGTGGGGGGCGAGGGGGCAGGGGTGGGGACCGGAGAAGCACCGGCAGCCGCAGCCCCCGGGAACCCGCCCGCTCTACTCCCGGCGGCCGCAGCACCAGCCTGACCGATGCGGCTAGAGCAGGAGGAGGCCCCGCGAGAGCGCCGCGGACATCCAGGGGAGCAGCCGGGCAGAGGCCGGCTGGGGGTGGGGGGGGATGGGGGACGGGGAGGTTCCCCCGGGCGAAGAAGAGCCGAGGAACGAGGGCTGGGGGTGGGGAGCGGGTGTCTCTGCCCTTGTCCCCGCGGGCTCCCGGGGCACCGACTCTCAGCTCCCTCCGGTCGAGCGTTCTGCTCCCGCTGCGGGGAGCGGCGGGGCGGCCGCGGCGGACTCTCCTCACGCGCGCACTCAGGCTTCACCCTCTCTCTCACACACACACGCTCACACTCACTCACTCACTCACTCACTCTCCCATACACTCAAACAGAAAGGCAGCGCCGCACAACAGCCGGTACCTCCTCAGAGAGAGGAGGAGGGAGGGGACTCGCGGAACACGGCCAAGGCTGTCGCAAAAACGTCGCAAAGGCTCGGGCTGCCTCCGGCCCTCCTGCCGGCCGGTGCCGCGGCGGCCGTCAGCTCCCACCCCGGTCCGCACCCCCGGGAGCGTGTGGAAGGGGTAGGGGAGTCGCGGCCCCAAGCTGCCGCCAGACGCACCACGTGGGCCGGCGGGAGGGTGGCAGCGGCCGCGGACTACAAAGCCCAGAATGCTCGGGCCGCCCCTTCCACGACTCCGCCCCACACAGTGGGGCTCTGAGAGCGTTGTTTGATGGGATTAGTAGTTTAAGGTGCTATTTTCGCTCACTTAGGGAAAAATTTTTTTACAGCCTTGTCTCTGGAGTCTGATTTGCACTGTAGACTTAACCAGAGAAACTCACTTGTAAGGGTATGTGTTTGTATTAGATCACAATGTGTTCCTCTTCCGAACTCCAAATTTTAAAGAGCAATTCAACAGCTCACAGACTACCAGTTTCCAAGTCTGATAGGGCTGCACCATGCTATCAGCTACTGCCACACTTTACAAACACAAAAGTGAATCAATGTGGAGTATTCACGCTTCTCCAAAATAGAGTTACTTGTAACAGATGATTGGCTCAATGTTCCCCATCCATTCAGAAAGAGCTTTCTAGGAGTATGGCCTTCTGCATCACTGCCTATAAGAACAGAAATTTTTAGCCATGGAATTAAATCCACAGAAGCAAATAATGTTAATAATCTTAAGGTAGAAAAGAGGTCAGCTGGAGGAATTAAGGTTAATAAGAAATTTACTTGTCTTAGCCCTGTTAGTTGCAAATCTATTTCTTATGTTTAGATTTTATATTAATTTTGCATTTTTCCAATTGCTCCTTTTACCATTAACTCCACCAAAGGACAGATAACACCGTAACACTTTTTTTTAAACGTCCCTGTTTGATTTATCAAGTTATCTTTTGTCTTTTATATCCTCTCCTTTGTTATATTATAAAGTCACACTTGCTTCTGTATTACCTAGTATTATACCCTGATTGTGGTGCACAGCAAACATCTTTGAATTAGTGAATAGATATGTTTATGTCAAAAACATCTACATACAGGTGATTATGATGATGATACTATTTTGTGAAAAATCATCTTATATAAATTTCCTAGGAGAAAATAGTGATTTGTCACTGGTTTACATCTAATGCAAGTTTCCTAGTAGAAAACAGTGACTTGGTCACTGGTTAAAATTTACCTTTAAATTATTCATTTTATATTATTTCATGTTTAAGTACACTGATTGGTTAGTTAGACCTTGATTTTATTCATCTTTTGCCATTTATTAGCAGAGTATCCTTGAACCCTCAGTTTCTTTCTTTGTAAAATGGAGATATAAAAGGTCTTACCTCCAAGTAATCATACAAAAGAGGCAAATTTTCAGTGATACAAAGTGGGTGATTCTTTAGCATGACTGTTCTTTCCATAGTTAAAAAATTATTTTTCCCTAAATATTAAGCGTATTTAAAATACACTCTTCCTAAAAAGAGTAGATTGTGTTTCTTGAGGTATGTCTCCTTTTGTCCAAGTTTACTTATATATCTTGAGAAACCAAACTACTATGTTGTAGAAAAGGTTGTGAAAAATCATGGGACTTGCCCATAACCCTAGGTGAGCACACCCCTCCCCCATTCATCGCCTATACCATCTGCATGGAATATTCTTGAACATGGAAAGTCCCAGACTTCTAAAAATGTACTTTTGACTACTGTTTTAACTCAACCCACTGTATAGATAAAAGTAAGAATTATCTCTGAATAAACTGAGTGTACACTTTAAAAATAAGTGTTGAATATGTTTAAAATATACAACATGATGTTTTGATATATATTTCATAATGAAATCATCACTAATCTCAAGATAATTCACAGTGTTCTTACAATGAATAATCAGGAGACACAAAGAAAGCTGACCTTGGACTAGTGAAGAGAAAAAGCTGCTTTTTGTCTTTGAAACTAGATTAAAAGTTAAGAGTCTGAACTCCAGGTCAGGGGGAATATGATGGGGTAAGGTACTGTGACCCCTTAATACAGCAATCAGCACGAGGCGCTAAGGAAGAAATAACCACAAGAGGCTTACAGGGGCCCTTTAGCTAAGGAGCAGTAATATCTAGAGCCAATTTTAAGTTTCTCTTTTCTGTGTGGTAATTCCCTTATGTTATCCCAAAACTATCAACCTTTTTTTTAACATGTGGAATTTGTGTCTATTCTTGGAGGAAAGGAAAGAGCAGCATCCAGAGCCTCAATTATGAAAGAAAAGATGTTTGGCCTGCAATGAACTAGGGTGCTCTTGTAACTTGTTATATTTGGAATACTGTCCAGTATTACAAAAATTTGAGGAATAGAACCTGTTTTTAGAATGACTTTCTCTAAATCAAACAATAAGGACATGGACTTTATTAGATTAATGAACTGAACATATCAGCAACTTGGAGATGTTGCAGTTTGATTTCAACCTCAGGTCTTATTGCTATCCCATGCCACTTTTCTTCATGATGACTTCCAATGACATTGTGTTGGGGTGTATGACCCTCATTGGTCCATGTTCCCAAAAATATGCAAATTAGATTCCCATTTCTTGTCACAAAATGTGGTTTTATTTACATTCTAAATTTAACATCTCCAGTCTTAACATACCTCCCAAACTCTTGCCACACACTTCAACTGCTAACTGTTCAGGTGAAGGGGATATTTTGCTGTCATTTCAAATTTAATATTTCTGAAACTGAACATGCTATACTATGCCCTGAGTCTTCCCATTCCTATGAAGAATAATGCTAATAACTAATCTTTCTGTAACCTCACAGATTCAGGCCTTCATTAGTTGTCCATTGTCCTTCATATCCATGCTAAATAAGCCTTTGTCTGTCTCTATTCTCAAAGACTGACTGCTTCCTCATACCATTTCTGACCTTTGCAGTCCAACCCATCCTACCCACCCTCCAAGGCACAGCTCAAATGTCTACCTTAGTCATGAAACCTTTCCTGGTTCTTGCAAGTGAATGTGACCTTTCTTTGTTATGAACCACTACCTTATCCATGACACCATTGCACTTGATTTGTAACTCATGTAGAAACATCATAACTACCTTCTATTTTAGTCACTTGATGCACTTTAAAAAAATCTGTCCTTTAATAAACATCTTCATGAGTGAGACTCTGACTTATTCATCTCTGTATCTCCTACAGAACTAGCATGTAGTTTACATAATTATATTTAATTATAATGTATTTTTATTGAGTAACATTGATTTACAACATTGTATAAGTTTAAAGAGTACAGCTTCACACATCTGACAATTGTGTATACCATACCACACCCATCACTCCTACCTGGTTACCATCTATCACCATCCAATTGCTGCATTCCTGTACTACCTACTGCCTTCCCTCGGTGAACTAATTTACTTAATTGGGTTGATTTCTATGCAAGTTGAAATGGTCCTTAATACTCGCAAGGGGGAGTGATTTAAAATGTTTTACATCTTCCATCTTACCTTTGACTATGCAATTTTTGCAACATGCAAAAAATACATTGTGCTTTATAATATGTTAATGTGAAAGCCCAATTGAGTCCTCTCAGAGTCAATCACTTCCTGTCTCTTCAACTCAGCCCAGTTTTCTCACTCAGTATCAAAGCAAGTATTAAACAGAGAGTATCTAACCTCCCATTTTGCAGGTGGAATGTTCATCATCTTTGTCACCAAACTTGCATATTAAGCTTCTACATTTAAGTATGGTGTTAGACACTAGGAAGAACAGACTTGATCAATCAACTTTCTGGCCTTTTTCAATTTTTTGAAAAAAATATTGATGCTGAAAATTTCTTAACTCTATAGGCATCTAGAATATAATTTATACCTTAGAAACAGCAACAAACAAACAAACAAAAACTTTTAAAAATGCCTTCATTTCCTCCTCTCATCATGTGAATGCCATTTGATCGTACAGATTAATTTCCACCACAAAATATGACCACTAACACTTGCTGAATTTTACATCACACAATACCTATCATTACAGAAAAGTACTATTAGTGAATACATGATCTTATTTTTCAATTCCTGTTTTAAAATCCCAGGAAAAGCACTGATTCAGCTGAACCTGGGGCTCTCCTGGAACAACAAACTGTGGCCAAGGAGGAAGGGGCAGGTAGTGAGTTCCTATTTCAGAAGAATGAGGAAAATGGGGACTTGGTAGCTCACAGAAGAAGAGAGAAAGCTCTAAGAATTATGTAGGAAATGAAACAGGCCAATGTGGTAGAAAGTGGAACAGTAAGGGATTTCTTTCAGTTGACAGCATGGCTGTGGAGTCTCTGAGGTAATGATGTTTAAGCTGACACATGGGTGACAAAAAGTAAAACCTGTTGAAATGAGAGAGTAGAGTAGTCCAGTGATTCCTTAGGACAGCAAGCACAAAGGCCAAGAAGTAGAAAGAAATGCC